AAAGGAGGAGTGGCAGGGGGTAACAGACTCGCAGACCAGCCCCGATGGCTACTACAACCACATTGCACGTTCAGGGCGTGGGGGAATTCTTCGTCGCGGTAGCGGGGGTGGGGCCCACGCGTCGCGTATGTCTCGACCTCCCAGTTCGAGCGGTCGTGCAGTCAGCTTGGGAATGCAGGGTGTGACAGCTGGGCCGGTCATAGGCATGCCACAAGACCCATATGCCCATACGAAGAAGACGAGAACGAAGCCTACTCGGAACGCTGATGGTGTCCTCATCCGCAAAGACGGTCGGCCGGATATGCGGTCTCAATCGTCTGCTGCCAACCTCCGCAAGGTGCACGCCAGAAAGGAAGAGCAAAAGTCCTCGGAGCGCTCCTTCACGCCAACCAGCCTCCATCATAGTATGGATGTGGGTACTGAGACGCCGAGCCCAACCGCTTTCACTGCCGATGGCCAGGATCTAACCACAAGCGTACAAAAGAAGCACAACATGATCATGGGCAAGATGTTTCCAGGCGGTGTTGACGTGTCGAGGAAAGAGCATGACTATGCTCGACAAGTCTTTGAAGAATCGCAAGGGCATACCGCTCAACCCCGGGGTCAACATCACCTTCATCACCATCATCAGGCGGCACATTCGCCGCATGAAATCAAGCGTGAACACGTGGAAGAAACCCATGTGCTTCACTCTCAAAGCCCCAAGAAACCCATCACAACGGCGACGTAGACATGGACCGTACCGAGGATCATGCCGACGATGAAGGTCAAAGTCCGAGCGGACAGAGTGATAATTCGGGGCGGGAAAGCCAGTATCATGACGCTCATACCCACGAAGAGGAACGCACGCAGGCCGAATCGAAAGAGAAGGTTGTCGCAGACACTCCACCCCAAAATGAACAGCCCGCGGTTGATTCCTCGGCAACAATGTCCTCGGCCACAGTGGGCGCCGTCCCTACGCAAGCGTGACCAACTAAGGCCTGAAGCCGTGGACTAAATGGTACTCTTTCCATTTGAATTTCGATCTTATTCATTACTGACTACTTTGATCGCCCAGCTGGTATGGAAGCCGGCTCACGAATTCGAGACTGTTCTTTCTCATACCCCCTAATTCTGAACTCTATACTGTGGCATGAGTCTCCTTTTTTGTTATACACGGCGTTGGTGGAGCGTTTGGTTTGCTTAATTTGTATTGCGCTTAGTGAAAACGGTATAAACACGGCCGACGTAGCATCGACCCCATTTCGGGTTGTGTTCAGATGCAGCGGCGTTTTACAGAGTTGCACTTTTGTACCAATAACTAGATTCCCTACGATTCACATCGCATTTGCTCTCGTCCTCTATTCCATTATCTTCACCCAGCTATTACACCAGATTGGATACAATCAGCGAGCTATGCCGGGTATCTGCCGTTCGCGGTCTCATCTATTACTACCATACCACCGTATCTACTGCTAGAGATAAATGAATACGACTAATGTTATTATACCCTTATCAATCTCACACATTTCTGGTGTATGGGTCCCCGGATGTTGGCGAGCGCCTTCCGGAGAGATCGTCTGGTACCGAATATGCGCCTTTTTGCCGTCAGAGGGCTATAACAACACATGGACCCGCCTACACCAACACTTTTGCCGCCGTGCGCATCCGATCTGTATGCGTATCTTGTGACGAAGCAAGGAGGTGGCAAAGGATTTAGGCGCTGGAAAGGGCCTCGTGTTGATTGTTTCAGCTTTGGAGTGCGTTGGGGCGGGATGAGGTGAGATGGGCTTTTTGGGGGTGGACGATCGTGTTTGAGGTTTGAGAGATGGGACTGAGTATAGTGCGGGTGGCGCAGGGTTGGAAGGTTGTGAGGCTGGTTTGCGGACTGGTGAAGAGGAGCTCCTGAGAGGAGGGTTGTGGGGTGTTGGTTGTGAAGTAACATGACGGCCGGTCCAGTCCTTCCATCCTCTGTTTGTCTTCGTTGTCAATATTTTAGTCTGGCTTGTGCAGACCCGCAGGATCTCAATTGCAACAGGAGGGTTGGTCTGATTATACAGCAGGTTGGTCAAGTTTACTCTAACAGGTTTATGTCAAACAGGTCTGTCACCCCTGCTGGATAATGTATTGCCGTCATAATCATGTTGATTGCTGTCGCCATCGGAGATTAACCAGAGAGAATAAAGCAAGGAAAGGTTGACATGCACGCCTAGAATATTAATGTTTTGGTTACATCTATGTAGGACTGCAAGTTCTTGAAGACTGTGTACAATGCATTTGCTGGACCACAACGGTATTTTAAAGTTAGGCAATAGCAAGCCTAAGATGAACTTGGCACGACATAGCGAGTAATGCTGATAGGTGAATCGCTTATAACATTATACTTTGTCTTTTTATACTTGAATTCCTTGCTGTAAGTGTTTCTTAAACACTCTTGCTCTTCCCTCTGTAGATGACGTCTCCTAAATACACCTTTTTCTGTTTAGAGATGGTAGGGACGATAGAGAGACTGGAGATGACGTGGAAGAAAGGGCTATAGGTGAAGGGAGCCGAAAGTTGGTTGCTTTTTGCACTGGCTTCTCCTCTCGTTTAGTCTTCGTGGGCTCGTTTGTGCTATTCCTAGTCATGGGAGGTGGGGTTGAGAGTGGTGCTAAGTTGTGGTGGAGACGGAGATCGTGGGACTACACGTCTGGTTGGTGTATAGTGTAAAGATGATGGTGATAGTAGTGAGTGCAACTGGCAAGGAAGCCATCGTAATTCCATGCTACCACCCTGGGGCCTCCGCGTATCTCAGCCACCCCATGCAGAAGACAGTTGCACTTCTGGCTATGGTGTCTGCCATAGCTTGGTTCGCAATGACGGCTGCGCTCGAAACCCTTCACAACAATCCATCTACGGACTGGAGGGATCTTTGCGTGGAGATCAACCAGAAGATCGAGTCGAAACTGTCGCCAAACAATCCCTTTGGAAAGCGCTTTTTGAAAGTCAAGCAAGACCACGACGATGTGACTCTTGCATACAATCAGGGAAGGCTCTCTGGGCGCAAGGCACCTATTCTATCACAGCCAGAGAAGGGACTTCTGCATTCCAAGAAGTATGCACCTCGGAAGGGGAAGGCTCAAGTGGTGAATCCCGTTCGAACGGATGGAATAGGCGGGTATCAGGTCCAGATCACCCCTTCTGAACAAGGCGAGAGTCACTTTCTACGATGGTTTGAGGACACTGGCGAAGAGTGGACCATCGGGCCCGTGGTATTCCCGAAGAATATCGTGCCAGATACACCTGATGGAAGACGATTCCTCTACTAGTAAGTTTCTTCTCACTCTTCCTCAGACTAATATTTATTAGCGTTGGGGGTGGGCTGGACATTCGTAACGAAGATAACGCATCCCTTGGCGATAGAGATCCTATTCCATCTGGTGGAAGCAAGGATGAGACCCTTCCTATCTCGATCATTGTCCTCGCCACAGTGGGGCAAGACGACAGGAACGTTTTCCTTCACCACTGGGAGGACATGACTGATATTAGCAGCCAAGAATTGATGTGTACAAGGGCCCTGGGCTATACATGTCCTATCAGCTCTATGCCGTTTTATCCTCTGAAATTCTTCAGCGCATCACGAAGCTCCTTCTTTCTCCCACTCGCTGCAAGGCCTCTACTACGGAAAGCTCGAACTCAATACTCCAACCGCGTTAAAGAGAGCCTCCCAGCAAACCGTGGCATCTCCTATGGCTCTTGGATCGCTTCCTAGTAGAGACAATCCCAAGTGGAGGAGAAATCGACCTGGCAAGCGCGTCAGAAACACCCAAATCTGTTTACAAGAATATCATAGTTTTGCCTCGGGACAAATTATCAACACCACCCGCATGTCTAGACATTGATGGCGTTTGCAGATGCCTCTGAGCAGGGAAGAGCTGAACGCTTGATCGCAAGCAATGCGCTGAATGCTGCCTTCGAGATCTTGCGGTCCTGCACCAAGAAGACTGAAACATTGATATTGAAGGTGGAAGGGGAGCGGAAAGATTCATCGCGAGCAGTCCTGACTCCTGGAAAGGAAGACACCCGCCCCCAAGGTATTATTCGTGACGAAGATGAACCAGAACTCGAAGGTGATGCCGAGATCGAGCTGCTCGATGATGTGACGGACAACGAGGAAGACACCGTGCTTGGCTCTCGGAAGCGTGGAGGTGGACAAGAAGATGATGAAGAAGATGATGAAGATGCGCCAAAGGTTAAGCATGCAAAGCTTGGTGTCTAATTCTCCTGGTTGCTATGTCTGAAGGGAGTTGAATCAAGGGGAGTGTCTGCGAATCACAGCCTGTTCTGCGCACAATAGCCTAGATCATAGTGAAATCCTACCCACAACGATGATAACCTGTCTTCCATTGTCACTGTGCCTTAGAGCTGGCAAAGAGGATACCTGTTCTGGCCCAGCAAAACTCTTACCTTGAATAGATGGTTGCATTCCTACTGAAGGAAACATCCATCCGCAAGAGCATTCTGTTGGACGCACTTCGTCACACATTCAATGCATGGGTACCTCCTCATTTCCACTAGTACCCTATCTAAGTGTCGCCCATCGTACCCTAAGCCTCGAGTGTACGCCTGGGGTCGATTTAGAGTACTGGCGACGACAACTTGATGGTGGAATTTCATTAGAAAGCGAAAGGAGGCTCGACGATATCGCTGCGAATGCCCTGCGAACCGACTCACCATAGTCAATCAACGACATTAGGGAAACGTGTAATGTTAATTTTCATAGAATACGTTATAATGGAGAAGAAAAACTTAAAATGGAACCTTGAGTGTCGCGACAACTTCATAGAGCAAACGCCTGCCGCTGGGAGAGGCACGTTGCAACAGAGCCAACGAGTAGAAGAAAACCAAGTCTTTCTTTCTTGCATGCAGTAATTTATAAGGTTTCAACGAATGTCGCCCACGCTGCAGCAAAAAATCTTGGTGGGGTTCTCCAATCGCATGTTCGCGACTTTCAAAAAGAAGAAAAAGGCAAAAAAGAAATTGGGTCTTACCGCGATTCGAACGCGGGGCCTCTCGCAAGTGTGCTTAGTGAACCCTAAGCGAGAATCATACCACTAGACTTTGCGGTTGTTAGATGGTTGATTGAATATGTTCGGAATCAATTGGATGCTTACCCATAAGACCAATTTGTTAAGCTCGTTATTGCTTGTTTGATGCTGGAGAGTAAAATTGTGGGTAATATATATCAGCAGAATAGAAGCTGAGAAATGAACAAACCAGAAGCACGGGTGTCTCACTGCTCGTATTCGCGGGGGTCAGTGGGGCTTGAACCGTGAAACGCGGCGTGGCGACGCACAATTTTTGCCCCTGCCCCTCGGCCCGAAGCCCTCTCTTTTACCCCGTCATCAACAATCTCCCCTTAGGTAATACATCAAAAGAACCAATCCAGCCCAAAATAGCCGGAATACCTCATACTCGTTCAAACGCCCATGTTTAGAAGCATTCAGGGGCTCGTCCTCCCAACCTCCGCAAGCCCGTCTCTTAAGCAGATGGCTTCTTACGTCTCTCTCCAAGCCACGCTCTGATCGGTGTGATGTGCCAGAAATCGAAAACTGCACCATCCGTCGCTCTCTCCACCACGATCCCTTCGACACTTATGTTTCCTTACCGTAGTTGACCTCTGAGCTCTTCAATCAAACAAAATGGTACGATTGTTCGTGCCTGCAGGCGGGTTTGCCCCTTTCCCGCTTAGTCGCTTGAAATTCTGACGTGACCCAGGCGAAGGCAAATATCCCATCGCTCCAAAACCCCCCGAGCGACTGCTTGCAACCGTGAAGTCTTTCGTTGTAAGCCATGCACTTGCCGGAATATGGAAAGCTGGGCTATCAACGCTTGGAAGGACCCGGCCTCGAGAATTTCTACGAACAACAGCCCGCCTGAGCGGAGCGTCGATCCTTGTGTTTGCTGCAGAGGAACATTCGCGACGAAATGTCGTCTCCTCTGCGCCCAAGAAGGCTGGCGTTGAAGAGCTAAAGCTTGCCAAGCTGTGGGAGAAGAGCGCTGGGATAACAGCTGATGACTGTGCGCTTGGTGGTGGGATTCTTGGTCTTCTTTGGGCTCTCCGGCGCGGTGAATTTCCGGGTGTAAAGGGCTGGCATGCGGGGAACTTTGGCTGGACTGTTGGGTTTTTTGTGGCCCCAAAATTGCCGAGCAGTAACGCCCTTTACGAATCCGTTGCTCAAGTACGTTACATCCAGCAAATGAATCGAGACGAGGCATTATTTGCACTGGCCCAAGACCAACAGTTCGTATCATCGCTTTCCACTATGGGCAAATGGTATCTCAAATGGCATGCATCGACGCCCCCAGTGAAATCGCAACATTGTACTTCGCCACCTAGGGCGAGCCCGACTTTTAACGCGAGGCCTCCGGCCCCCAGCTTTGATGGCCTTGATGGTAGACTCGAGCTTATGCAGGGGTTCTAGGCATCAGCTATCTGAACATTGTCCAAGAGGACATTGCTATTTTCGAAGCAAACATGCGACAAGCAGAAATTGAAACTGAGTACGCCCTTCAAAAGCTGGCAGAGAGGGAACAAAAGTTCTATCAATTGACTTTAGCAGACTCGATCAAGGAGCAACTTCGCTGGGAACTGCAACTCCTCTCCAACGTAGTGGGAACGCTCTATATACGGAAATCTCAAGCCGAATACTTTCTACAGGACGCCGAAGGACTCTGCAGTCAACTACATCAGAAGTATTCGAAATCAGATCAAGGTTGGATACCATGTCCATCCCCTGATCTCAACCCTGCCTAGGATTGGCAGCAAACTTCCACTCCCGAGTTCACAATTTCGTTTTTACGAGATCAGTGGGCAAAAGGGAGAGCTGCGTTGTCGGAATCGGAATCCTTGGAGCGCCAGGGGTTTCCACTACAGCAAGTAGGAATGCCGCAAGGCATGGTTGATAGGGTGAGGAATAATGTTCGAGTCTCGGGAAATCTGTTGAAAGAGCTTGAGGACCAGGCATTGAAGGCGGCGGATCGAGAGTCTAAATTAGGATAGCTGCGCGGGGGTAATTTCTCTCATGAGTGGTATTTGTTGGCGCGCTGGCACATGTCCGAATGATGGTGCCCAGAGCAACTGAAGAACAAGGCCTAACTGTACATCTCGATGGCAGTCTGGCATGTACTGTCATATCCGTCACTCCACGATTCGAACTCTTCAGCTTGTTAAGATCAACCAAGCTTTGACAATGGATGATCCATAAGAGGCACTTTTTGGGTTTCATGCTAGCTGCAACTGCTAGACTGCTTCCTCAATTGAAGGTAGCTAGGTTGCAATTCCCGTTTCTTTCCTTTTTAGCGGCTCAATCCCGTCACCGTTTCCATTATAGAACCACCACTGCCCTTCCTACAAGCAAGAAGCTACCCTGCATGAAGTATTCTATCTTTATGATAGCATGCTGTCACTGGCTTACTTGAAAGAGGAGGTACAAGGCTTGTAAACTAAGCCATCACTATTAAGTTGCTCCCAATGGAGTACTATGCTGGACCAAATTTCGTTGACGCGGGTCCTCTCTTACAAGCAGTGTCTGTCGAAAGGGGCAGAACAGTGTCGGAATTGATCCTCGTTTCCGAAATTAGTATTCATCTCGACGTGTCCCTGGTTAGAGTCTCGTCACACGACTACAACCATCCACCGAGCGCTTGTAAAGTGTCTACTCATCCGACCAAACCTCCCGAAACCCCCGACTCCAATTTAAGTCTTGCGTCTCAAAAGTGCTAGCTAGACTAAGACGTACGACGCAGCTTAGTCTGCCATAGCGTAATTTCGTAGAAACCAATGTACACACTCTGAATTTACTTGGATTTCTTCAGCGACATGGGAGTGCCAGACATCCTTGCAATAAATAACGCCTCTCCTTCGCATCTGGGACTTATTTTATTGAATTTACGAGAACCACGCTCCGTTCTGAGGATACATGTCTGGTGGAACAGCTGATAAAAATGTTCACACAAGATTTTATTAACAGACTTCTCGTCTGTTTTGTAAAACACGGCTCCATCCACTGCACATTTCGTATCAATACACACAAGTCAAGTCCATCCGCAACACCCTTATCGCTGAAGCATATCCCATCTATACATCCACGCCCCTTCTTCAATTCTCACTGCGCCTTATCTGCCTTCTCTGCCGCTGCCGCAGCTTTCTTCCGCTGAGGAATCTTATACGTGGTCTCCCACCCATACAACGCGCCAGCTCCAAACACCATAGCTGCACCCACCTTCATCAATCCGCCCATCTGGTTTCCGAAAAGCCAGATGCTGAGCAGGAAACTGACCAATTTGCGGATGTTCAGCACGATTGTGACCGTGACAGCGGAAGTGTTAGCACTGAGGATGTTGACGCCGGTGATGCATAGCAATTGCGTAACCGCATTTGCTGTCAGGTAGATGACATGCTGAGAGGTCGCTGCCATGGCTTTGTTAAACGTCGGTGGCAAACTAACCGCAATGTTTGACGGGACTTGAAAGGGTTGGGAATCGTGAAGACGCAAGAATTGGCTGTATAGGATGGGTCCAAAGCTGGCGAAGAGTGGGATCGAGAGTAGATGGGAGTAGAAGAGGTTCGCTTTCCAATGGTTTCCGTATTCGAGGTAGATGTCTTCAACGTAGGCACCCATGTACGCGGAGAGGAGTTGGGCGACAAGGAGGACGAGAAGACCTGCTTCGAAGGATGCGCTCGTGAGGTCGATGCTGGATGCATCCATTGACTTGCCCTATTCAAGTCAGTGTGGCAAGTACGAGATAAAGGAGGAATCATACCTTCGACCTCGCATCGGCCCAAGCAGAAACCATAACCCCCAACGTCAAGACTGCGACCGAGAAGATCTGAACAGGCGAGTACTTCTTCCCGCGCATCCATCCGGCAGCCATGGTCGTGACGCTTCCAAAACTGCGAAGGATGATATGGACCGGGACTGATATGTTAAAAGCAAAAGCCCAATTATTCATCATGTTGACCGCAAAGAACATAACGGCGCTTACGCACCATTTCCGAAACGGTACAGGAGATGGCTTGACTAAGTACCGACCATTGGGATCGAACTGATAGTGGAGAGTTGAGAGACACGTAAATATGAACTGGAAAAAGGTGATGAGAAGGCCGCTGTCGGGTTCGTGTCTTTTTAATGTCAGCAACTTAGTCTATATGTAGGTCGAATCTGTATCTCACTTGACGATGGCTTCCAGACAGTACACCTATAGAGTATTAGCAGGTGGGCTACGTCATAGACGTCAAAACATACATTTGAGCAACATCCTCCAAATATGAGTGCAAAGCTACCCGCCAGTGGGGCAAGAGCAGCCATAATGAAGCAAGAAGTAGGAGAGGGTCGCACTGAGAAATTAAGAGCAGCAAGGTTGATCGAATCTCAAAACCTAGAAACCTGAGCGGCGTTAACAAGTATGTGACGACGTCCAGAAAATACCCGTCTACAGTGATTTGGGCACAAGTGTACATCTTCATGATAACGCACGTAGCTGTCACAAAGGTTCCCTACCCATTGTTGTTGCGAGGAATATGAAGGGTGCAAACAAACAAAGCAGCGGTGGATGAAGAGTGCTTGCAAGTGATAGAGGAGAAACTTACAAAAACAATAAAGGTTATCTGGAAATTGGAAGAAAGGCGATGTCTATCATGGTCGGTGCGATTGGTGGTGTTGTTGGTGATCGATGCAAGATCGTTGACGTGGAAGGACCGAAGGTTGTGATGCACTAGCCGCAATCCTCGTAGGGCTGAGGGCCGAGGCTTGAGAGAGACCGGAACAGGAGCCAGCAGCATTTACGCCACTATTCCAGAGTAATTCGGGAGTAAATTGCGCACATACATCGGCCATGTTCTGAATAATTGCCGAGAAGAAACCAAACTTTTATCATTTACAATTTTTTTTTCATTTGCGGACATGCACCACTTCATTATCATTATGATGGTGCGCAATCTACATCCAGGCCCACCCACGGTGCATCCTGGCTATGCATTGCCTAATCGATCTCTCCAAACAATCTCTGTGCACGCCACCAGCACGCCCACCAGCCCGAGAGGTTCCCGTCTACCTTCACAGCGCCG